AGAATCACCTAAGCCCAGGAGTTTGAGGTTGCTGTGAGCTGTGACACCACAGCACTCTACCAAGGGTGACAAAGTGAGACTCTATTTCTAAAAGAAAAAAAAATCTTAGTAAGAATTTCATGTTAAATTAATGAATTAAGGCCAGGCATTGGCTTTAAAATGAACTCCAAAATCTTATTTTATCAAAATAAAATCTCCTCAACAGGTCTGTTATTGGAATAGAAATATTTGAATTAATTATAGTCTCATTGGTCAAATCCCTACATTGCTTTCGTTTATCCAATTGCTTTTCTATCATTTAAACAATTACCCTCCAAAAGTAAGTCAAAAATCTTAAGTTCTATAACCAACTAAGGTGATTTTGAAGTTAGTTCATGCAGCAAACAGTTGATTCATCTTCTTTTAATCATCTTTGTATTCCTACTGTTTAGCTCTGAATGGCATGTTGTAGATGCTGAACAAATATTCAGTGGTGAAATGATATGTTACACCTATCTCATATTCCAATAACTAGTTTGATAGAACTGTAAATTTAACTTCTACCAATGGAACACTTTCTTTTGACTTTTAGAATATCAGTATCGAAACATGTTCAATATCCAAAGGTACATAATACACAAGGTTCATACAAAGCAAGTTTAATGTAAGTTACTGCAATGTCTCTTCTTTTGAGAACTGTTCAGAATCATAAATCCTCCACCTTTTGGTTTGTCTTTTATTTTTCACTTTTTCTTAGACAAGGACGTCAAATAGTTACATATGTTTAAATACAGGTTTGTGAAACAATACAGATTTTTCTGTAAGAGATCAGAAAGATGTGCCAGTGACAACTTTCTTGATATTTGGAGGATCCATAATCATCCAACTGGAAGTTTTCAGAAAAAATTTTGTAGACTAATTTCCAACAAGAATAAAGATCTCAAGAATTCAAACTGAATAATCCTTTGAAAACCACCAACTCAATTAGCAAAAAGACTACACTGAATTGCATAGGAAAAAAGTTTTATGCAGGCAGGGAAATACCCTCAAACTAAGAGGTAGGTAACAATGTGGCTTAATGTTTAAGCGTGAAATAATTAAGATTTCTGAAAAAGTTAGACTCGCTGGTCATCTATGTTTTTGTTTTGCTAATATCAGCTCTGACAGTTTTCCAGCTTGAATTTAGAAAGTGGCATTGCCTGCATGAATTTTTCTTTCTTCTGGTGTAGTATTTAGGAAGCAGGAAGATTTTTTTTTATATGATAGAACATAAATATTGAAACAATAACATTAGAATATCTATACAATCTTGTTTCAGGTGAAATTCTTTTTAATGTCACCTGTGGACTAACTCTTCCTGCAGGTTTACTAGAATTCCCCTCTTCTTCCATAAATACTTTCCTTTGAGAGATGTAGGTGTCTTCCTTTTTTTTTTTTTTAAGCCTTTAAAAACTACTGTGATTTATAGACTGTCTCTATCCTGCTACAGTTGGGCAAGTAATATCATATTTGCATGGGTCACTCTGATTATAGGACTTCCCTGTTTCTTGAACTAAAAGCGCAGATTTATTATTCTATTAATGCTCATAAAGTCACTCTTTTGATGAACCATAATTTCTCTTTATGAGGAGTCTGTGTGCCAGTCACCCATGATATGAGGAGAAGAATGTCCAGACTTCCAACCTATTCATATTCCCTGGAACATTAATAAAGTCTTGAAATCCTAGGACTCCAGGGGATAATGACACAGGGTTAAGTAACAAAAGGTAAATTTCAAGAAGTCAGTATGACCCCATGAGACTTCCCTCACATTTTTGGCTGTGTTTTCAGTTTTTCCATTTTAATTAAAAAATTTAAACATTGTCCCCACTGATGGAGAAGATAACCCACCAACTAGGCTTGTTTTATCTTTGTGGATAGTCTTAGGAAAAGAAATGGCAGGAGGTGTGAACTTTCTCCTGTTTATCTTAATGGTCCGCTAATGGCAAGGCATAATTGCAGTTACTTTAAGTGCCAAGTTTATTAAGGTTTTCTAAAACCTTCATCCACGATGCTTTCCTTGACTGACACAGCTTTTATTCATCCAGTTGCTTTTCTATCATTTAAACAATTACCCCCAAATAAAAACAAACAAGCAAAAAACAAAACGTCCACTCCTCTTATGCTTAATTTCTCTAACTAATCTAAGTTGGAAAGTTCAAGCACCTGTGACTTCCAAAAAGTTGAAGAGATCACGTGTATGGCATCATTAACCGAAATTTTAACCTTCCCACTTTCAAAAAGCAGGTCTATGAAGGAGTTGTGAATAGTTCACAGCTTCAAGAAGTCAGTTTGCTTCTAAACCAGAAGACTGAGCGCGTCTTCTAAAGCCCATCCCGTGGTGCCGTCTGTGGGATGGAAACTTAGCCATTGTACCTTTCCCCCAATGCACCCACAACAGAAGCCCGAAAGCCACATCTCTCCACCAGTCTCTGGGTCTCCTCGCTGCCTTTGTCCGCTCTAGACTTGGAGGCTTGGAGAGGAGGTTTAGTTTCCATGGATTGGAGCGTTTGAAGGGCGGGGCCATCTCCAAGTCCATCTCCCCTTTTTGTCCTCTTCTCCAGGGACCGGAGGGTGGAGCCAGGTCCCCCCGCGGCCGGTTCGGGAGCTCTCTATTTCGGTCGCTCGAGGTGAGTCTGAAAGGGCGGCAGCCCGTTTAATTGTAGCGCAGGTTAATTTCTTGAGTTCACCGCAGTGGTTCCGCCAGCGGCTTCCCAGGTCTTTGCCAAGTGGGTTTATGAGGTCTGAGGCGTGTTGGGGCGCGCTCGCGTTCTCGCAAAAGGCTCCTCCCCAGGCTCATTCCGCGACTGCGGGAAGCGCTTTGGTGCCCCAGGAGCCTTGGAAACCCAAGGTTTCCTCTGACCTCGTCGCTCCTTCCTCCCTCCCTCCCCACCGCCGGGTTCCCTACGCCCCTGCCCCGGGGGAAGGACGGGCCCCCATCTTAGGACTTCCGACCCAAGCCAACCCAGAAGGTACCTTCACGTCGATGAAGATTTTATCTCAGCCTTCAAAACCCAGCAGTAATAGGAGCTTTCAACCTGAAATACGGTTGTTATTTTCCCGTGGAAAGCTTGACAGAAAAAGTCCGCTTTTTATTAAAAGACAAAGAGGTAAATTATCTGCCGGGACACTGAAGGGACGGTGGAGACCTGGCGCGCTTCCTCCCCTGGCCACGAGGAATTTATGGGGGAGCGGCGGCCAGAGCTCAGACACCCCTGGGGGCCCAGTAGGGAGGAGCTCGGGGCACGAGGACTTCCCCAGGTCCCTTAGGGCCCTTGGAGGGGGGAGTCCTCCCAATTCCGCGCAAAGCCAGGATCATTTCAGTTCAGAGCAGCCTCAGCGTCTTCCTCCTCATTCTTCTTTCTCTTTGAGTCCTGTTACCCTATCTCCCTGTCTTTTCTCTTTCTCGTTCTCCGCTCCCTACTTTTTCTCTTCTCTCTCCTCTCCCCCCTCCTCCTTTCTTCGCCGCCGCACGCGTAGAGTGTCATTTATTTATTTATTTATCACCCCCGCCATCAACACCCTTTTAGGACTCCCAGGCTTTTCAATGTGAGTGGGAGGAGAAAAGGGCAGGAAGTGTTGACTGGAAAGGGGTGAGGGTGAAGTCGTGCCTCTGGGTGAGAGATTTCTGCCCAGGAATATACGGTCAGGAAAATCTTGGGACATGAGGATTTAGATCTGTTTATGAAGCCCCGTTAGCGGCTGGGAATCAACTCCGCGCGCGTCTCCTCGCCCCCTGTATTGTATGAATGTAAGAGTCTATCTTCTCGGACTGTTGTTTGGAGAGAGGAGGGGGAAGGGTCGAGTATTAAAGAGGACAATCTTGCCCTGGATCCTCAACACCGCGCCTTCACCGGATGCGCGCTCCTCAATGCAAAGGAATCCAGCAACATCCCCCAATTCAGACGCGGACAAAAGAAACTTTAATTAAGGTCTCTGCCCCGCGCGCTGCGCGTTTCTTTTTCCCAAGGCTGTTGATGTCCAACTCAAGGATCCGAGAAATAGAAATGGTACAACCAGCTCATGCCCTTGAACTTCAATCGCTCCGGACTAGCTGCATTGATTCTTTTTGATACTTAGGACCTCCTCCTGGGCAGCCCCCCCATCAAATTAAAGCCTTAGGAGACTTTCGACCCGGTGGTGGGAGCCTACTTCTTTGCAAAAGAGATAGTTCAGAACGATTTGGGAAAATTACACTAAATAAAAATTCAAGGTGTGAAAGCTTCATCTTGGCTCTCTTGTCTTCAACACCACGACACCTTATCATTAGGAGCGCTGATTGTTACTTTCCGAGCCTTCAGATGATCAGCCAGAAAGTGCAAACAACGCGGGGCTGGAGGGTGTAAAGTTATTTAAGTAGGCTTTTTTTTTCCCTTTGGTGCGCCGTCAAAACATTTCACAAGTTAGGAAAAGAAAGTGGTGGTTCCGAGGCTCTCGGAATGATGGGTTCTCTCCCTCCCCTATTCCCCCTTTCTGTATCAGAAAAGAAATAAAACGCACAATGAACCTTTATTTCAGGGGGAGAAGACTTCAAAATACGTGCCAGTAATGGACAATTTGAGCTTTTCACTGGAGATACTCACACCGCAAGCTGGAAAGGGATTAAAAAGCCCCACGTGGTTGATCTGGGTTTAGACTTGCAACCTCCGGTTCCCCATGTATGTTCTTTGCAAAGATTGGCCTCTAGATGGATGCGTGTGAGGGACCCTCTGGGGCCCAGGTTCGGCGCCCCCGGCAGGGCTGACGGTGGGAGCGCTATGAGCTGCCGGGCAGGGTCCTCACAGGGGGCTTCCTCTGCCGGCCAGGGCGGCCGGGCGCCACCGGGACGCGAGCGCGCACGCCTCGGCCTGGCGGCCGCGCTCCTCGCACCGCCTTCTCGGCAAGTCTTTATTCATCTCATCTCCCTCTTCCCCTTCTCCTCCTCCTTTGCCTCCTTCTCCTCCTCTTCCTCCTCCTCCTCCGCCGCCACCTCCTCCTCTTGCATCTCACTGGCCTGGCTCTGTGTTGCTCTGAGTGACAAAGACAATGTCCCAGCCTTAACTTTGCAACCACCTTGCCTCCTTCTGGGGTTCGGCAGGGGGAGGGGGAACAGCAGCCGCAGCCTCAGCATCTCCACCAGCTTCTTCTGCTCTTCTCCAGCTCTTCGATAATTTTCTTCCTTTTTTCCTCTAGCCTTTTTCTCTTTTCTTTCTTTCTTTCGTTCTTTTTTTTTTTTTTCTTCCTCTCTCCAGCACGTTGTTGTTGTTATTAGAAAGGCTTCGCGCACCCCCTGGTGCTCCGGCGTTTTGTGTGGCAGGAGAAGATTGTCTTCCTTCTTTCTGTCTTGCTTTCTCTCTCCCTCTGGTTGCTCATTATTCAGAGAGAGACACAGAGGGAGGGAGAGAGAGAGAGCGCGAGGGAGAGGGAGGAGAGGAGAGAGAAGAGGAGAGAGAGGGGAGAGAGAGAGAGTGAGAGGGAGCGGGAGGGAGGGAGAGAGAGGGAGAGGGAGAGAGACGGATATCTCAGGTCATCTGCAGCTGCAGCGAGTCTGAGGAGCTGAGGAAGGCAGGGAAGATGGCGATCCTCCATTGCTGAGACCCGGCAGAAGCACATGAGACTCCCAAACAACTTCCACAACAATAACCCGAGCAGGAAGAGGAGAAAGAGAAAGAGGATAAGGAGGCGGTGGGGCTGGAGAACCCGAAGCACCTCCCGGCGCCGGGACGCTTCTTCTGTAAGTTACTGCAATTAACCACCACCTCGGGGTGGTCGGAGTGCTCCGGGGAGTGGAGCGCCGGGTGGTGGAGGCACAAACGCGCTCATTCATTCGGCCAAGGAGGGTTGGAGGAGCGGGGAGGAGAGGAAGTCCCCTGCTTGGACTGGCTGTTGGAAGAGGAGAAGCAGCAAGAGAGGAGGAGGAGGAGGGGGAGGAGGGAGAGCTGGAGGGGGAGGAGGAAGAGGAGGAGGAGAAGCGAGGGAGGAAGAGGAGGAGGAGGAAGAGGAGGAGAAGGTGGTGGTGGTGGCAGTGGAGGTGGCTGTGCTTTTCCTGCTGGCTGCTCCTTCTGCTGGGGGGAGCGGAGCGCTGTGGCTTAATTAATTTCGTGTAGTTCTATGAAGAGAAGAGAAAATGAAAGATGAGTGAGAAGAGAGCTGGAGGCTTAGGACGGATGCTCCGAGTGTGGGGACAGGAGTAGCGACAGAGGGGGGCGGAGGGCGGGAGGCAGGAGACCTGAGCCGAGAGCCAGAGGGAGCGAACGAGGGTCAGCGGAGCGAGCGCTCCGAACGAGCGGCCCCGACCTGAGCGGGTGACCTCTTTCTTTCTCTGTCCCTCTCCTTCTCTTCCCCCCTCTGTCTGCCTGTCCCCCGCCCGATGGCAAAGCCGTGCGGATTGGCACCCCCCCTCTTCCTCAGGTATTTGGCTCTCTCTACCCCCCTCTCCTCTCTCCTCGAAGTTGGGATGCGGGGTCGGGATGTGTCGGGGGTGGCTGCTGCAGCGGCTGGTGCTGGTGCTGCTGGTGAGGACAGAGGCGAGGAGCTGGGGGCACCGTCCGGCTGGGGGGCACAGGTTCAGGAGCAGCTGAGGAGCTGTCTCCAGGCGAGGGGTTCAGAAGCGTCTGGTGGAGGAGGACAACGGTTTCTGGAGACGAGAAGCCATTACACACGCTTGGCTCTCCAGTGAGGAAGGGAGAAAGGAAGGCAGGGGCCTGGGGGGGCGTCTCACTCCTGGTTCGGTTCCCAGGGGTCTGCCCTCCTTCCAGGCACGAGGGGAAGCCGCAGCCGCCCCCCATTGGAGCAGCCCCTCTTTCCCTTTCTTTATCTCCCTGTCCTCCATTTGCAAGCTGTCTGCTTTGGTTCCAGTCCAGACTCCAAAACACAAAGCTCCTTCTCACGTTCATTCTCCAGGCTGTTCACCATTCCTGAAGGAACCCTCATTTTCTTTTCATTGTAGCTCCTAACCTACAGAGGGAGGGGGGGAAGCTGCCTGGAGTTCCTTTTATATTCCTCCTCAACCAAAAAAAAAAAAAAAAAAAGAAAAAAAAAGTTTCATTTTTAAGCACGCGTCTGGGATGGGGAAAGACCAACCAGTTGGGGCTCCTGGGGCTCCCGGGGGGCCGTGTCTGAGTGTCTGTGTTGGCTGTTTGGTTCGCTTTGGTTTTGTTTCTGGAGGTTGCTTGCAGGGTTTTGGAGGAAGTGACTAGTTTGGTTGAGAGCTGGGAACTGAGGCAGGTAAGCCTTGTCATGTTGTAACTCCACCAGAAAATGGAGGAGAGAGCGGGTTTCCAGGAGACAAAGCTGAGATGAGAAGTGTTTATAAAATTATGGATGTCTCCATTTTGAAGCTCCGTTGGTGATGGCTGGAGGAGGAGGCTTGCTTGCTCCTCTTTCTGTCTTTCCAAAGGGAAACCTTGTGGTGGTTCCTCACTATTCATTATGCAAGGAAATGAGGGGCTTTTAAAGGTTCCTCAGATTTTTCTCCCACTAAAGGAGTGCTTTCACAAGTTATTGAAGCGTTTGTTTCTGTTTTAAAGTAAACTTTTGGAATTTTTTTTTTCTCCTTTGGAGTGGACCTGAAGGGTTTTCATCTCCTTCGGGGAAAGGCAAAGCAAAACCTTAAACATTTCTCCTGAGGTCTGCACACAACTTTACACTGCTCCACGTCTCCTGAAAGTCACCAGGAAATGTTATTTCCTCATTGTGAAGATGGTGGTGGCCTGAAGCTGAGATTTTTGAGTTCTGGGGCTTGGTTATCATCATGCTTTGATGAGACTTTATTGTCTGGTGTGGGTTGATTTTTCGCAAGTACAATAATCATTATCATCACCTTCCTGCAAGATCTCAGAGGAACTCCTAAGACTGACTGATTGACACTGGTTTCCGGGTTCTACATTTCTCTTCAGATTGTGCCATTTGTATGTTAGGCCTTCCTTTAGGTCCTTTGTTTCCCTGTTTCCTTCTGGTATTTGTTTCCCTTTTCTGAAGTAATGGAAGTCTTCAGACATATCAGTATAGGTCCTCTTCACAGTGTCACTACAGAAACAATTTTTTAAAATATTAGTATGTCAAGGGAGAAAAGCTTATGGCCAGCTATCTTCACTTTTTTAATTGGAAGGAATTTATGTATCTGCTGGGAAGACATTTTTGTGAGGATGATTTGAAAGAAAGGACTCAGTCCTTCCCTCCGTCACATACATTGACTGGAGCGCTTCACAGATTAGTTCTAGAGAATGTGTGTTAACTAACTCAAGAACTAAACCCTGAGATGCTTCAGGAATTTATAACAGCCAACCTTGAAGATGTTGCTTTTCCATTGGGTAAGGTAGCCATCTTGAGGATGAGGAAAGATGTTGGAAGAATTTTAGATTGACTATTGAAGATAGATGAGGAGGGCTCCACGGTGGAATGAAAACTTGGAGGAATTTCAGAACCAATTAATATATTTTAAGGAGGTTAATTGGACCTTGCTTTCCACTGAGGAGAAATATAGAAAGGTACCAGCTTCCACAGAAATAAGGAACACATTGGTGAGCGACTTGTACCAGCATTTTTTTTTGCTTTGCTTTCTTATTATGTGTCAGATTTTTTTTTGTATAAAGTTCCTTATGTCTACAGTATTTTGTGCATATTGAAGTGGTTTTATATTCCAGATGTAATTATTCTGTTGAGTAGCTGGTAGCAGTGTCACTCAGTAAATGCACAATGCTATATATGACAACATCACATTTTTCAAACCAAACTCTTGTGTCATTAATTGAGGGTTATTGTTCTTCAGAGGGGTGTGAAAGGAGAGGGGAAATACATGGTTCTTTAGCTGATAATTGTCCATGGTCAATGAAGTAAAACCCTGTTTGTACAGATAAAAATGTATGGTTTTCACTTGATGTGTATGCTCATTTAAAAATACTTGTGTTCACATCTCTGCTCCTTTATTGAAAACCTAGACATCTCCAAGAGCACTTTTTAAAAAATCCTGCTTGGAATTATACCTGTCATTCATTTTTGAATGTTATCTTTTGATACCATTAGTTTTATGCAGAATGAAATCAATGTTATATTTAAATTTGCTAGTGCATATATAGGTGCTACTTGTTCAAACTCGGAAGTTCGAATGCAGTGGATAAAAAGAGTTATTTGAGAAAGTGATTACCAGGTAATTTCGCATCTACTTAACCATATATGTTGGTGTAAACCTATATACATTTTATGTTGATCTTGAAATACTCATTCTTTCATTCTTTTTTTTTTTTTTTTTGAGACAAAGCCTCACTATGTCACCCTTGGTAGAGTGCAGTGGCATCATAGCTCACAGCAACCTCCAACTCTTGGGCTCAAGTGATCCTCTTACCTCAGTTTTTCTATTTTTAGTAGAGATGAGGTCTCACTTTTGCTCAGGCTGGTCTCGAACTCATGAGCTCAAGCGATCCGCCCACTTGGGCCTCCTAGAGTGCTAGGAGTACAGGCGTGAGCCACTGTGCCCAGCCTTGAAATACACTTTCATAGTATCTTTTTTATTGTTGCTGATAGCAGGAAAACTGGTTAATTTACCTATTTCAGCAGGGAAAAAATATCTGACAAACTAGTTGCCTGTCCAGCAGTTTCACTCAACACATTTTTCACTTTGCAGCCAACTATGAGGATCTTAGTAGACAGTGTTAGAAAGCTGAGCTTTTCTGGAGGGAAAAAAATTCGATATCTAAGAAGTATTTCAGAGTTTGAGAATGTGTTCCATCTGGTTACAGAAAAGGCATCCATCTCTGACACCTTTCATCAACATGGAAAGCACCATAATATTTAAAGATTGGGTTTCTTGAATTTTTCTAGACATACACATTTGAGTTAAGGCAAGTATTTTGGATAAACCACCATGAAAGAGATGAAAAGAGTGTTAAATTAGGCATTCTCATTTGATATCAAAGCTGGAAGGTCATTTTTGTTTGGGAGACATCAAGTTCATGAGGCCCATTATGCTCTGAGAATATTACAAAGATGAATCATTATGGAGAAATATGGGTATGGTATGATGTACCCTGCTCTAAAAAATTCTTGTTGGATCTTCACATTCCATAATATTTCTCATATAGGCTTTATGTCAATCCAAATCATTGACCACATTCCCTGAGGACTTTTTTTCCTCCTTACTCTTTAGGTTTGGAGATAACTTTTAGAGGAAAAAAAAAAAATCAAAAAACTGTGTATCTGTTCTTCCTAATGAGTCTTCCGGAAGATAATAGAAGAAAAAAAAAATCCAACTCTACTAATGGACTTTAGAGTACTTGTGGTCAGTTTTCCTGAAAGAGAAGAGTGGTGATGTTGACATGGGAAAGAATTTGATGGAGCTTAATAGGGCCTAGTCTGTCTTAAATTTTGTTTCTTGGTGTTGAGACTTCTTGGATAAGGTAACCTTATGCATCTTCATTATGGCTTCTTTTTTTCAGACTTATAGTTCACTGCATCATGGGATGGTGAATTGACAAAGCTGTATGGAATATTCTGAGTTGATTACTAGAGAACACAGTTGCTATTTCATGATGCCACAGTCACAAAGTAGGAAATACTTAACTAATAAACTCAGATTGCTAAGCATCTGACAGAATAAATACATGGCGGGATGGTTGGTATATAGAATCTAAAGAAATTCAAAAGAAGTGTGTGTGTGTGTGTGTGTGGATATTTCTGTGGTCTGTTGCTAAAATCAGTGTGTGTGTGTTTGTGAACGTATCTATCTTGTGAGTTTCACACACTTACGGAGTTGAGGACTTGGAGAGAAGCATTAGCTAGGTGTTGGTGACCTATTAATTGATTATGAGAAAACAGAAAGGAGAGTAGATAATGGTAGAAAAAAATTCCTCCTCTTGTGTGATATGCCAAGACATCTGGCAGATGTTATGTTGGGCCCTAAGGAATGGACAGTTTAATTTTAGCCCTAGCAAGGAAATGGGAAGTTCTAAGCTCTTTTAATAGAACAAGTCTTCGTTTGGGGAAGGTTGCTTTAAAAAAATGAGAAAGAGAGGAAAAGAAGAGAGGCATTTAGTGTAATATGGAAGAACTCTCAGGAGCAGGGAGCATAAACTGAGGTTTGGGGGTGATGAACAAACATTATTTCTCAAGTATACATTAACATAAAAATCATAGTGGACAAAAATGCATGCCATGAATAAGGAATGTTAGGTATTGAATATTCGCCATGCTGAACTTCCAATTTGGAAGCAAGTGTTTTTTTTTTTTAGGACTTTGAGAGATCATGTATTTTAAATCTTCCTCCACTTAGATTTTACTGAAGAGGAAACTGGCACAAAGACGTGAAGTGACTTGCACAAGGTCAGAAAGTTCAACTGTAACCAAGCCAGGCCCAGAACTCAGGTTGGACGACTGCAGCCCAGTGCCCTTTCCACTACCCCACAGCCCTGGCGTTGTGGGTTGGGTTGTGAAACAGCCACTTTCTTCTTCAGGGCCCAGGGTTCTCTGAGAGGCTCTGTCACCGTATGCTGGTGGCAGGAGTATGGACTTTGTTAGTTGCATTTAACCTGTCGCGGGGAGCCCGAGGCTGAGCGTGGTTCCATTCAGGGGAAGGTTGTAGCTCCTGGGTTTGTTCCTGTGCTTTGCTTTTCATTTGTGCAGCTCTCTTCTCTTGTTGTCCTCTAGGCCTTGGGAGTCCTTTTCAAATGCCCTTCTTTGGAAGTTTGTCTGGGTCTATTGCAACTTACAAAAGTGCCCACAATTGGGCTCAGAGGATCTATTTTGCAATGTGGTACAGATTTAAATTGGCTTCTTTCAGAGATGCCATTTTGCA